GAGTGAGATCATCCTCCCTCTGATCTACTTCACTTAACATGATACCTTCCATTTCTATACACATTGCAGCAAATTGTATGGTTTCATCTTTTCTGACAGCTGCGTAATATTCTTTTGTATTTATATGCCACAATTTTTTTAAAAAAAGCATTTTATTAAGATTCTGTAGTTTGAATGCTGTTAGTGGTTTCTCGTGCACATAATTGCAACACCATTCCCATCACCAGTATACCTCCTCCCTCTCCCAAAGACCTCCACCTCTCCCTTGTCACCCTCGCCACCAGTTTGTGTGGATCACTTCCTCCGTTGCGTTGCCTTTTGCTGCTGCCGTGTTGTAGATCTTGTCCCACATATGAGCGAAATCATTCTGTATCTGTCCCTTTCCTTATGTCTAGCTTTTTTTCAGCGTGATACCCTCTAGTTTCATCCATGTTGATACAAATTGCGTGATTTTGTTCTGTCTTAGTTAGAGCTGCATAGTATTCCATTGCATATATATACCAATTCTTGATCCATTCATCTGTCTTGTAAATATGGATTGTTTTCATGCCCTGGCTATTATACCAAGTGCTGTTGTGAACATTAGTGTGCGTGTATCCATCCTTTAAAAGTAATGTCCTTGTGTTTGGGGGGGAAATATAGCAAAATGTAGAATCTCTGGGTTGTATTCTTACACTTCTGAGAAATCCCCATGCTTCTTTTCATAGAGACTGAACCAGATGAATTCCTATCAGCAGTGATGAGGGTACCTTTCTCTTCACATCCCCACCAACACTGATTATTTTCAGTCTTGTTGATATGTACCATTCTCACTAGGATGAGATGACATCTCACTATTACTTTGATTTGCATTGTCCTAATAACAACTGACAGCAAACATTTTTTCATATGCCCAATGGCTACCTGTATGTCTGTCTTTGTTGAGGAAGTATCTCTTACTTGACTCCACTTTTACATGAGATTATTGCATATTCTTTGTTGTTGAGTCACAAGAACACTTTAGCCTCATACCTGAAGTATTATGTGCAAATTTTTTTCTTCATGTTTTCTGAATTTTTTTAAAATTTTCTTTCACTCGCTGGTGAGATGAGAAAGTAAGTTTTCCTACTCAGATTTTTGTGTTATGCTTGTGCTCCTCCAGGATCAGTTGCTTCTCTGAAGCATCTGCTCTGAGCAGTGGCAGGGCTCTAGACTCACACAGAATCAGATGTCATCTGATTTAGCAACATTATTCGGAAATGTTGTCATCTGAGAAGATTTCATCTCCTGCTATGTTCAAGACTTAATAGATCTAATACTCAGTGATAATTAGTTTCTCTAGCTATCAGGAAGTGGAATTTCCCTATTTGGTAGGTTAATTGGGAATAGTGTTTGGCAGTAGTATTTAGTAATAGTAAATAGGAGAGCCCGGCAAGCTACCGAGAGTATTCCATATGCCAGACACAGTAACAACAAAGTCTCCAATGGAGACGTTACTGGGCCCGCTCGAGCAAATCGACGATCAACGGGAGGGCCAAATAGTAATAAATAGATACTAATTAAATAGTGTTTAGTAATACTGTTGCCACTAGCCACTAATTTATAGAGAAAAATTGGAGCGGGGGGGAGGCGAAGCGATAGTAGAGTGGGTAGGGCATTTGCTTGCATGAAGCTGCCCCAGGTTTGATCCCTGGCATCCCATATGGTTCCCGGGGCACCACCAGGAGTAATTCCTGAGTGCAGAGGCAGGAGTAACCCTGTGCATCATCAGATGTGACCCAAAAAGCCAAAAAAAATATTTGGGGGCATTGACTGTTCATAAGTTTCTTAATGCTTCATCGCTATAGTATAAATTTACCATCAAGAAATACTGCTTCCATCTTACCTCCCATACTCTGTGCCTAACAAGTACCAGTTGATGCTATGCATTTTCTGTGATCTATTGAAGAACAAGGATTTATCAAAGAAATGCCTTAGAGATAAGAAATGATCACTTGATCACTTGACATCCCATTACTGATGTTGCATTCGGAGATGGTCGTTCCGTTGAGAGTGAATGAAACGTCAGGAACAAGACTGTTTCTCATGAACATTGTCTTTGTGAGATTCAGCTGTGATCCAACCTTTCCACACTCACGGTCAAAGTCGGTCAGCATTTGTGCCCCTTGGCTGATGTTTGGTGTTATTAGAACGATGCCATCAGCAAAGCGGAGGTGGTATAGTTGCCGACCATCTATCTTTACTCCCATTCCTTCCCATTCCAGTTGTCGCATGACATTCTCGAGGGTGGCACTGAAGAGTTTCAGTGAAATAGTATCACCCTGTCTAACCCCTTTCTTGACATGGATGATCACTTCTTTGTAGCATGGTGAGATCCTGGTAGTGAATTCATAATACAGCTCATGGAGGATCCTGATGTATTGAGTTTGAACGCCCTGATTGGCTAGGGGTTTGATGACCGTTTTCATCTCAACAGAATCAAAGGCCTTCTTTAAATCAGTGAACGTTAGACAGAGCAGCATCTTGAACTCCCGAGAAACCTCAATGAGCTTGGTTACCATGTGGATATGGTCGATGGTGCTAAATCCTTTTCGGAATCCGGCTTGCTCGCATGGTTGTCCTTCATCTAGTGTTCTGCCAATCCTATTCAGGATGACTCGAGTGAAGAGCTTGTAGACGACAGACAACAGGCAGATCGGGCGATAGTTGCCAATGTCTTGGTTGTCTCCCTTCTTGTACAGTAGAACTGTCCTGTTGGTTTTCCATTGGGACGGAACATTGCATTCAGACAGGTAGCATGTGAAGAGCCGAGCCAATGTATTGATGAATACTGACGGTAGGTTCTTCAGGTGTTCAGGTCTGACCTTGTCTAGGCCAGGTGCTCTTTGTTTCTTTACTGACGAGATGGCGTGTCAGATTTTGGAAGAGAGAATGTTGGGAGCAACATATCCATCCTGCGGAATTCGGTATGTGGGCAGGTGAACGTGGCTATTAAAGAGATCTGAGTAGAAGTCATGAATAATCTTCTCCATTGCCCTTCTAGAAGATGTGATAGATCCATCAGGACGTCATAGGGCAGTCATCTTGGTCTTGTAGTTGGCGAAGGACAGGCAAAACCATCATTTGAATATGATGTGGTCAATTTCGTTGTGGAACCGTCCTCCAGGAGACTTCCATGTCCAATATGTGGTTCGGCCTTCTGGAACTGTGAGTTACCATGGATGGTCTTTGTCAGCATGATGAACTCAGCCTCTCACCCTATTCATTCCATTGTAGGCCATGGGTCCTGATGTGGAGTTCTTCTTGCAACCTTCTCGGTCCTATCTTGGCATTAAAATCACTGACAGTGATCTTGTAGAAGGTGTGGTCTTCTTTGTAGAACTTCTCAATTTCTCCTTCATCGTAATTGGATGTTGGTGCATAGACAACGAAGATAGAAACTGCTGGCAGTGAGCCCCATCTATTCAAGTGTAATCATCCAATTCGGGTTGTTAGGCATTCAAATGAATCAGTGCTCATGGCCAAGTTTGTGTTGACAAGGACATCGACACCACCGATGCCTCTTTTGTCACATGTTCCGAGGAACAGTTCGTCTCCAGTGTCGAAAATGGCGTGATGTGGTTGAGGCCTTCTCGTCTCGGTCAGACCTATGATGTCGTACTTAATCTTCCACGCTTGCACCATCAGGTCCTCAATGGATGCATCTGATGCCAGCGTACGTGCATTGAAAGTACAGACAGTCATTTTAGTCCTTTGTTTTGGCAGCCTAGTTCGCCCTTGAGATTTTATCAGCCTCTCCTTCCTCATCCTTTTTAACACTGCCGTATTGGTGGCTCTTTCAGGGTCAGTGGAATGAGACCCACTGTTTTTACTGTTTTTGGCATATCGAATACACCACGGATAGCTTGCCAGGCTCAGCAGCTTGCCAGGCTCTCCAAGAGGGATAGAGGCTGACAGGGCGGCCTCTAATCGCCCTTGCAGGTGTTCCCATGGTTCAAACCATATTTGAACCCCATCAAATATGGTGGAGTAATCTTGGAAGATGGGTATTAAGTGTCTTATGTGTCCAGAAAGCAACCTGGAGCATAGCTGCGGTGGGTAGTGGAGGTAGTGGAGATTAGCTGCCTTGATTTTTATTACGATAAAATTAGCCAAAATAAATTCAAGAACATTTCCCCTTACACTGATTTGTTGCTCTCTACATTTGACATTAAAAATTTTGGCTTTTAATTCTCCATCTTGTTCTTTATTTGGGGGGGGGGGGGGGGGCTCACACCCAGCGATGCACAGGCGTTACTCCTGGTTCATGCACTCAGGAATTAATCCTGGCCGTGCTCAGGGGACCATATGGGATGCTGGGAATCAAACCTGGGTCAGGCTGCGTGCAAAGCAATCGCCCTACCCGCTGTGCTCTCACTCCTGCCCCTCATTCTTGTTCTTAAATAAAAACCCCTGAGGACTATAATTGTTTCAAGTTTTGCCACTCAGGCATGTCATGGAGAAAGCTCATTTCTGCCAAAACACTTAAAGTTATTAAATTCCTGTGATAATGTGCTTTTTGTTTCATAACTCTGTTAAGATTTGTACATAGTAAAGACAGTACAGTCTGACCCAAGAAACCCCAGAATCTGGGCATGAGATCTGAACAGATATAGGTCTAAATTCAGCCTCTCGTTACTGGTTCTGGACGTAGGTGAACGATGCAGTCTGTGGGCTTGTTTGCCCTTTCTGTAAAATTAGGATGTTACCTACCCCATAGCATTATGTGAGGGGCGTGCTGGTGGGGTGGAGTACTGATACAGTTTCTAGTATTTTGAATCTGTAATAAGTGGTGATGTTATTTTTAAAATGTTATTCTGATTACTTGTGCTTGTTTTTCACTGTCTTCTAACTTCACTGGATCTGAGGGCTCACATAGGACCAGACAGAGTCTCGACTATAAAACCCTATTTTGCACATACCCAGTATAATTGGTCTTATAACTGAATATTCTTGTCTCTTTTCTTTTTTTTTTTGCACAGGAAAATGGGCCTTACTATACATCTTATCCCCCATCGCCAGATTTGTGACCTGCCATCTCTCAGTGCTGTTGATTTCCAAGGATGTGACTTTCTTCATGAATCACTATCTAGTGAAGTGATACTCATTTTCGCTGTACAGACCCAGGGAGCCTTTTGTCCCCACCTCTCTGGTATTTTTTTATTGACTGTATATTTTCTGCCACATAAGCAATCTGAATATGGTAGGCCATACTGAACTGCACACTTATTTTAAATTTGTATATTTGTATCAAATGAAAAAGAAAAACATTCATTTTTAAGAGAGTTGTTAATAGAAGATGGGGAACAAACTTTTCAGTATCTTTACAGGACACTGGACTCTCCATTAGACAAGCCACCGTTGTTTATATCATCTCTGTGACATTGCATGCTTCTTTTGTGTACTCAAGTATTTCTAAATGTATGTATATATATGTATATATATATATATATATATGTACACTTGCTGACTGGTTGTATTGTTTGCTTCAAATCCTAGCTTTATATTTTAAACAGCAAATTTGGTTATGACAAATGAGAATAATCTATTTTTTGAGTTTTTTTGTTTTGTTTTATTTTTCTTTTGGGGTCATGCCCTGCAGTGCTCAGGGCTTACTCCTGGCTTTGCACTCAGGGATCACTCCCAGTGGGGCTTGGAGGATCGTATGTGGTGCTGGAGGTTGAACTCGGGTTGGCCACATGTAACTAACTACCCACTGTACTATCACTCTGGCCCCGATAAATGAGAATCATCTGGGACCAAGGATATGGCAATGTATCTGATTGAAAACATTAAAGCCATTCGCAAAATATAGGACTTAGAATTTTATTACACCAGTTAAGACCTAAGGACTAAAGTGTTGTTTTTGTTTTGTTTTGCCTTTTTTTTTTAATATTTAATCATCTTCCTAACATTGTGGGCTATTTGATCTCTTTGTCCTTGTTCATAAGAAGTGCACACACCAGTACTCTTTTTTCAAAAATTAATTGCTTTTTAAATTGAATCACAGTGAGATACACATAGATAAGTACCCTTAAAGCCGTCTTTTAAGATTCTGTCAGAGAGCCTCTCCAGAGTTACTCTGTCTTACTAGAATATGCAGTTATTTTCTTTTGACATTTAGGGCTATTTTCCTCTACAGACATTTTCTAGTAGTGTCTCTTGAGTTGCATCTATATTAGATGGATGAAGGGTTTCACTGTAAACAAAATTCCAGGCCATTTTTTGCATCTGGACTCCGGCTCAGCCTCACCTTGTATAGACTTAAGAATTAGAATTGTGGTGCCCACCTCGCTGAGGTATTGTAAGGGTAACATTGAGGAGGGACATTAGATGTTCTTGCTTGGAGCATCGTGGATGGTGGTGCGCCTTCAGTGTGGTTTTCGATGATGATGAACCCCAGGGATGTGCCACCAGGCATTTCTGGTGTCCTTGGCACTGCCAGGCAGTGTCCTTTCCTCAGGAGAGGAGCTGTTGGAGCAAGCCCCGCCCTGTGGAGCTCATCCAGCTCATCTTCCTCCCCCCGTGCTGCACTCTGACAAGAGGCATCTGTTAGCCATTTTAAACATTTCGCACTGAATTAAGGTCAAACCATTATCATTTCCATCTGAGTGTCTTCATATTCCCTTTGATTCCTCCACCCCACCCCAGTCTCCCTCACCCCATCCATTGGCAGTTCAGGGAAGGAAAAAGTAGAAATCGGTAATCAGATGCACCCAGAATTGTGCTTCCAAAGGTCCCTCCCATTCCCTTCTCAAATGCTTCAAGAAGGTCCAAGAAACAGCTTTTTATTTATGCTAGAGAAATCCCCAGTTTCAGCCACATTCTTTATTTCCCCACATAAATAAGAGGAAATAAATTTTTTTTTCTTTTGGGTCACACCCGGCGATGCACAGGGGTTATTACTCCTGGCTCATGCACTCAGAAATCTCTCCTGGAAGTGCTCGGGGATGCTGGGAATCAAACCCGGGTCGGACAAGAGCAAGGCAAACACCTTACTCACAGTGTTATCGCTCCAGCCCCGAAAGTACATTTTTAAATAAACACTCATGTCTTTCTCATGTATTATTAAAAACTTTTGCATTGTGTTAAAAGTCAAAATCATAAGGAAATATATAAAGAACAAATAACTATGGTACATATATACACATGCATATATGTATTTACTTCTTACGGACTTCGTGTTATATTCCCTAGGTTATTGGGTTTGGGGCAACCAGATATTAAATACCTCTCAAATAGTGTTTTTTTAACCCCTTGAGTCATTTTTGTTTGGTTGGGTTTTTTTAAATATTTTTTACCTGTAAACATACTCCTTCCTCCCTCTCTCCCTTGCTCCCTCCCTCCCTCCCTTTCCCACCTTGAGCCTTAAAATGCGAAAAATTCACTCTTCTTTTCCAGTCATTTATTAGATAGTTGAGGTCACTTTTCATTGGGGTATTGTGCCAAGTTTTTTGTTGTTCTTTAATCTAGACTTGGCTAAGTCAAGTCCCGGATCATTTTCTCTGTAGATAACAGAGGTTGAAAACTAGTTTGCTGTGTAAGTTCGCAAAATAAATAAGTGTGTGGTGGTAGCATGGTCTCTCTCTCTCCCCGCCACATGTGTTCGGTGGCCATGTGCCTCTTCCCCACCCCGTCCTGCAGTCCTGCAGCCGCAGCCAATGCTCGCATGAAGGAGGAAACGGCCGCCGGGCTGGTTGGTCAGATCAGCTGCCGTTTATTCCATTCTCCCCATGTGCCTGTTCCAGTCTCACTAAGCACCCCGTTCAGTCTCACACTGCCCCTAATTCCCGTTCCTCCTGTCCCCCATGCCCATCTCTCTGCCTCTCCTTGGTGTCTTAAGTCTCACAGCCTTAGTCTAGCCCCCCACCTCAAGCACTGGGAGTAGAAGCTACACCTAGGTCAGGTAGCACATTCAACATATGAAAGCTGTTCCTTCCAGGGAAGTTTTGTAAGATAAGACATACTTGTGTAGCTAGGAGATCCACTCAAGGGCGAAATACCACCTAGGGGGTGTTTCTCCTTTCCTTAATCCAACAACCATTTAAACAGTCATCTTTAATTCCGCTTCTTAATAGGATTAGTCATTTTGTATGGACACAGTAAGAGATACATTAAGCTTGTAGGTGACTCTCCTGGGGACATCTCGCTATTGATCTCAGACTGTATCTGGCTCAGGCCCGATTAGTCTTTCCTAACCCTAGCAAGGTCCTAATCCAGTTGTGCGTCTTTAGATTAGGACAGAATTTGTCCTTGACCATGCTCTTAACTTGTAGTTAAGTATTATGGTGCTTGGCCTGGCCCGTTTCATTGCCAGGGTAGCTCACAGCTTGCCCTGGGTCCTTCAGTACCTCACTGGGACCCTGCTTTGGGGGTGTTAGGAACAAAGGGCAACTGAGACTTAAGTCAAGAAAACAGATGCCCAGGAGTGAATATTATTTGGAGTCAATTAACTCCCAAGTTACAAACGAATAGCATTAACTGTCTTCCTGCGTCTATACAAAAAGGACAGGGCTCTGAAGTAAACTATGCAAAAGGACATAAGGGAAGGACAAAAGCAATATTTCACTTACAGACACAAATTCAGAGATTTCTGAGAAATTTGACTTACAAATCACAAGTACTGCTTAGGGGAAATGAGTGATTAACAGTAGAGAATGCTTTGGGAACATTGTGAATGGTGTAACCCAATAAACTTAAGTTCCCTGCAGCCAGGGAGAAACAACAAACCAACGTTGTCCTGCAGTTTGCCATTTGAAAGGAAAGTATATTTATGTGAGTAGTTTCTTAAAGGCAATAATTTTGAAAGCATGTCTCCTTGATTATATTCATACCATGTTTCGTACTCCTGGCTGGATTCCACATCTGCTGATTTTCTAATTCAGTTGGTGTCCTTGAATATACAGCTAGTATGACTCTGCCACTGTCACTGTCCTCCCGTTGCTCATTGATTTGCTCGAGCGGACCCAGTAACATATCCATTTTGAGACTTGTTGTTACTGTGTTTGGCATATTGAATACATCACAGGTAGCTTGCCGGGCTTTGCCATGCGGGCTCGGCTCTCCAAGAGGGGTGGAGGAATCGAACCCGGCTCGGCCGGGCTGGCTGCACGCAAGGCAAACGCCCTACCGCTGTGCTATCACTCCAGCCCCAAATATCTTTTATTGTTTTTTTAGATATATTTTTAATAAAATAGTAAATATTGGTAGGTCTAACTAGCAAACGGGAGGACAGTGTTACAGTGATGAAGTCTTAATTCATCTAGAACCAAATTTCTTTTGGGACGTGGGGGGACAACATCTGGCGGTTTTCGGGGGTTACTCCTGACTCTGCACTCCAGAATCACTCTCAGCAGTGCTCAGGGGACCAAAGGGATTCCCGGGAGGAACCCATGCTGGCAAATGCAGAAGGAAAGCACTTTACCCACTGTACTATCTCTCTGGCCCTAGATCGAAGTTTCTTGATAACGAAAGTAACCTCTTTGAAAAAGCTCAATCTCTAGTTACCAATAATTTATATTCTAAACATACTCTTGTTGGGGCTGGAGCGATAGCACAGCGGTAGGGCGTTCACCTTACAAGCGGCCAACATGGCCAACCCGAGTTCGATTCCTCCGCCCCTCTCGGAGAGCCCGGCAAGCTACCGAGAGTATTCGATATGCCAGACACAGTAACAACAAAGTCTCCAATGGAGACGTTACTGGGCCCGCTCGAGCAAATCGACGATCAACGGGAGGGCCTTTTACTCTTGTTATTTCATTGCCTGGAATTATATCCATGTACAGAAGTTAGAGAAAAAGCAACAGTATGACTGGAGTGTTTTTGGTTGGAAAAAAAAATGGATATGAGGTTTTTATTAAATATCTGAAGACCCATTTCTGTAAAAGGGTTCATATAATCATTCTAGTAGAAAAATGTGACTAACCTTTCCCTGGTTATTTTCTATTTGTTTATATATTATTGAATGAATGCAATAATAGCTGAATGTAATTTAAGAAGTTAAAATTACTTTGTGCATCCCCAATACATTTCCTGTGTCTGTATGTAGAGTTGAAATGGCTTAGTATATGAACTGAAATTATTAGAATTTGAAATGCTGGAAAGAGAATTGTATGGTTTTAGAAGAGCACGGAAGCCTCTAAAATTGAAATCGGCCAATTCCAGGTTGTAGTTCTTTTATAGTCCACATGCACCAGAGATTTTTTCCCATAACTAAGTATGCTTTATGGTATATGATTGGCTCGGTTCACAATTGTGTAAGACATGGAGGACAAAAGAAGGTTCTCCCTGTGGTCTAAATTTACATAAGCCCAGCAGTTAATAGGGTTTATGTAAATAAACCCTCTTGGACAGCAGGCTTGCCCATATATATACATGCCTACATTATGTGTATACATGTGTACACAACAGATAATCTGCTTAGCTTTATGCTTTTTGAATGTATTTTCTGTATAGGAAATAGAGAGCAATAAATGACTAAAGTTTTGTTTCTACTAAAATGGCCCCCAAATTGCATTAAACAGATGACATCAAGGCCATTTGACGGAGAGTTATTAATTGTTCACTTTATCACATATGCTTTCAAAGAGAGTCTCCTTGAATCTTTTTAAGTGCAAGCATGCCTTAACTGCATAGGTCATTGAAATGATGCAAAGCATGAATATACTCTACGTTTATTACAATAACAAATTCGTAATTACTGAATGTGAGCTATTCTTGTCAAACAGTGAAAACTGTTACATTTTGTGTACAGAATCACATTTTTATTGTAATGTGTTTTGTTTAGAAAAGCACATAGTTATCATAAA